CCAATGCTGGGCTTGGACAAGCAGGCACAGGACACCTGCAAAATCCCACAGGGGATGGAAAAAGAGCAGAAGGATGGGAAGCAGGCAAAGTGAGGGAGCATCTTACAGCAGGGCAGGGTTTGGGAGCACAGAGGGAACAGCAGAAACCCTTTTTGGGGCAGGAAACACCCCACCAGTGTCAGAGACACTTGTTGTCAACTCCTCCAGCAGCCTCAGGGTTAAAAAGAATTGTGGGGAGCACTGGTGGGGTTTCATCAGCAGCTTGAAGCAGAGGAAATGAGTGTTCACCCCAAAGCCACCCCACTCCCAGCAGGGTTACCCAACTTCCACCCTGCAGTGCCAGGGCAGGGCTTCCCCCCCGGCCCCAGCAGCTCCCACTTGAGCAGAAACCATCCCAAATCCTGCCAAATCTTTCATCCCTGTGCTCTGCTGGCAGCCCCAGGCTGGGGCAGCTCAGGTGCATCAGCTGCTCTGAGCAGGCAGGAGGAGGGACCAGGTGTTCACTCGTGGGGCAAACACAGCAGGGCTGAGCTCCTCCATGGGAATTCCATGGGAATTCCATGGGAATGCTGCTCCATGGCTGGGCTGCACAGGGCCACGAGCAAGCACAGAGCCCAGCCACAAGTATTTTAATTTTTTTCTCTGCTCTTGTGTCTAAAGGAGGAAGTCAAAGGAACCCAAAGTGAGCTGTCTCCATCAGTATTTTTTTTTTTTTTTTGGTATTTTACCATCCCCACTGGTCAAGCCCCTCTTACAATGAAGATATTCATAATTAATTAATAAAACATCCCCGTGCCACACAATCCCCAGGCTGCTCAGGTTGTGTCTTGTTCCCCACAACCTCTGGCTGGAAAATCCAGCCTGGGATGGGGCAGGGGCACATCCACACCCACAGCAGGGTTTTTGGTTTAAACCTTGAGGTTTTTGGGATAAACCTCAGGGATCCCAGCCAGGATGGGGCTGCCACAGGGTCTGCAGGCTTTGGTGGGCACAGAGCACGTTTGCTCCCAGCCCTTTCTTGCAAATGGGATTTTTTTGGTGGTGTTTTTGCCCATTTATCCCTCTGCCCTGCCCACCCCAGGCTGGCACAGCACAGAACCCACCCTGCCAGTGGTGCCACACCTCGGACCTTGGCATTTGGCTTCTGGCCACGCTCACCATTTTATTGCCACACTTTGCTTTCTTTCCCCCCTTCCCCCATTTAATTCCTGGAACTGCTGCTCACCTGCCCTGTGCAGATGATGCTCAGATCTGCTGGATTCTTCCTCCTCCTCCTCCTCCCCTCTCCCACCAGCCCCCAGAGCAGCAGAAAAAGCTCCAGGTCGAGCCATAACCAATGGCAAATTCCTTGAGTGCAACGTAATGTGCTGGGAAGCGCTTCCCCATCTCGCTGGGGAAAAGCGATCGGTTTGGCAGCAGGGAGGAGGAAAACATGCTTTGTTTTACAAATCCTCTCCCCAGCAGGAGAGACACTCCCAGAATTTAATATACTGACAGCGCCTGGCTGCCTTAACCACTGAAACTCAAGAGTATGGGGGAGAAAAGAAGAGAGTGAAAATGAAAAGTGCCCCGCTATGACATCAGAACCTCGCCTGCTCTGTGACTGGTGGTACTGGGAATAGTGGGGCTGGGATTCTCCCACCTGGATGGAGTGAGGGGTCTGAGAGTGGATTCCCGAGTGCTGGACACTCTGAATGAATTCATTTTTAACCTTTCCCTGCAGCAGAGTTGGAAAAGCAGAGAAGATGCTGCCAGGTAAACCTAAGAAGTCACTTCATGGCAGATAAATTCCAAGTTATTCCATGCAGGAATTACTTCCATGGAAGGCCAGCAGCTCCCTCCAGGTGACTACCAAGCCTCTGGCAACCCCAACCACCAGCCTAAATCAAATGTTAATAATTTCAGTGTCTTTCCACTGTGCCAAAAGCACAGTGAGGGAAAACACCTCAGCCAAGGAGAGCAGCAGGCACTCGGTGGGATTTGGGGGATTTGAATTTTGCAGTGCAGGGTTTGGGCTCCAGAGCAGAAAGAAGGAAAAAGAAATGAGTATTCTGTGTCTCAGGAGCCCTATGTTCAATTAGCCTGGCTGTGCCAGAGGAGCACAAACCCTTTGGAATGGCTGCTGGCAGCAGGAATAACAGGAGTGTTATTTTGGGGGCAGGCAGTGGGATCAGGTTGCCTCCACACCAGAGACCACTGCTGACCTCTCTGAGGAAGCAGAGTCTGTCTGCTCTTCATGCTCTTTGTATTTTTAAACAACAACAAAAAAATCACTTTGTATCTCAGTATTTTATAGCTGTTTGCAACCTCCAGGCATTCCCAGAAACACAAATTAATCCTTCCAGGAGCCTGTAAGGAAAACAGCATTGCTCCCACCTCAGGGGAGGGAGAAGGATGGATAAATTCCAAATAAATGGGTGGAATGCAAAGGCCACAGTGGACATTGGTGCCAGTGGCAGGGCTGGAAGGGCAGGACCTGCTCCAGCAGGTTTCAAATACAGGATTGCAGCCCTGCCCTGATAATCAAACACACTTTGTGGGAGCAAAAACGCCCCCTCAAACCTTGTCTTGCTGGTTGGTAGGGCAGGGTGTTATGGCACAGAGACCTGAAAAACAAAGATTTTCAGCTCTGGCCATGCACTCATCCTGCTCAAAAAAATAAATATCTGGAGCCTGTCCAAAGGCAGGGATGCTGTCACCCACCTCTCACCAGCACACTGGGCTGCCTTCAAAGCCAGCTGAAGTCAGTGGAAAGGCTCCCAGTGACCTAAATGCCTGGGATTTAAAAAAATCTCTGCTGAGAGCTGGGCACCAGGTCACTGGGTTTGCTGGGAAAACCCCAATTTTGCTGGGAAATGCCCAGTTTTACAGCAGCAGCATCACACAGCAGCAACGACAGGGAGCAGCCACAGTCCCTCTATGGGGGACACCCTAAAAAATGGCTCAGAGAAAATCTCTGCCCCACCAGGTTCATCCATCCACCCCTCTCCAGCTTGGGGGGAAGCTCATCCCTCTCCCCAAATCCTCACTTTCAGGTTGAGACACTCCAAGAGCTCAGCTCTGGAAGGTTCCTGCTGGAGTGGGAACAACCCAAGTGGTCCCTTGGAGCCACCAATGCCCTCCTAAAACATCCCCTCCCAAAATCCAGCTGCTGGAAAACCCCAGAGCAGCCAGGATTTTGTTCAGGGGGACATCCCACATTCCCTCCCTGGAGGCAGGGATTAATATCACCTCATTAAAAACCTGCTTGGAGTCTATTATAGTATCTAGGACAAAGTGTTCTCTATTTTGACACTCTAAGATATATTTTATCAGAGTGAGCTCTTCAGAGACACTCACTGCCAGAGATGCACCTGACTGTAACAGGTTCCTTGCTTCCCCCAGCAGTTGAAGATTAATTTTTAGCTTTTTCCTCCCAATCTCCAGCGAGATGAGAGGGTTCCCCCGTGGTCAAGTTTGTCATTAGGGCATCCATGGTGACACATCCCAGCTCCCTCACTCTGCACAGAGAGTGAAGACAGACCTGAGCATCGCTGAGAAAAACCAGTCTGGGGCCAGGGAGAACTTGAGAGTGATTCCTGGCACTTTGCAGGCCCCAAGATTTATTTTTTGGGGAGGTGTTTGAGATAAACACCCTCTAAAATTAGCACCTGCCCTTCTGCCAGCTCCAATGGGCTGCGACAACGATAAAGATTTGGCGTGGCTGAGAGGGTGCAACATTTGGGCTCTGATCTGCTGCCCAACTCAACCCCCACGGCCACACAGATCCCAAATGGAGAGGTCACTGTCCCAAAGAATTCCACCCCCAAGCCCCAGAGAGGCAGCACAGTCACCTCAGGAAAAGTATTTTATCCCAAAGCTGAAAGCGGGGAGAGTTTTCCATAAAAAAAACACGAATCACATGAAAGAGTTCAGATTTCTCAGCTGGGCTGCTCTAAAGATAATCCTAAACCTGCAGGGCAGAGGGAAAAAGGGAGTTGGGCTGAATGGGGACAGGGACATGCCCCAAAAAACACAACCAGTGAAAAATTACCTGGAGAATGAGGAGGGGGGAATGCTAACAGCAAACCCCAAACGCAAAACCCCCAAATAAAACCAGACGGGAGCAGTCCCGTGCACAGACTATAGGGCAGGAAAGCAGCTCCCGCTGCCCGGCAGAGAGCGGAGCCTCTTTTCCCCGGGTGGCAGAACTGGTTACACCGAACAGCCGAGCGAGAAACCCCGAGCTGGAAGATGGATCTGCTTTAGGTTTGCACGGAAAACTCGCTGTTCTTCAAAGCCCTGCGCACCCCAGAGCCTTGAAAACGCCCAGCGCTCGGGTGTTTTTATCAGCACCTATCAGCAGAAAAGATTAAATGCTAATTTGCTTTTCTGTTTGCTCACAGCAACTTTCCGTCCTGTTGCTTCCCAGCTAATGCCCAGCTCAAACAGATTTTTCAAGGCAAAAGGTCTCGGGCTCTCTCCAATTAATTCCCCGCTCCCCCAGAGCGTCTCGTTTCTCCCAGCCTCGGTCAACACCAGTAAAACTCCACCAGGCGATTGTGCGTCAAAAAAATATATAAAAAAGCAACGCTGCCAGCTCTGGGTATTTCTGAGCCAGCAAGAAAAGAGTTGATTCTCAAAAGCTGCCAGCTCCGATTGCCTCGGCGCTTTTACGGAGCTGCTCGAAACACCAAACTTTTTGGAAAGTTGAGTGGGAACCACCTTGAGTAGGCTGCAAATCCCAGAGCCAGCAAGGAAGGCAAGGAGGAAAAATACACCCGGCAGCGTTTCCTCGCTGCAGACAACTCAAAGCACATCCCTGGGGGAATTTCCCCCTCTCTGACACCGTGACCACCCTGCAGCTCCTCAGCCACTTCCCCAACATTACACCACGAAAGCCGGACCCGCCAAAGCGCAGCGCGGCCCCTCTTTGCCACCAGGATTTCGAAAGCGGCACGGGTTGCTCTTAAACTGTTTTTCCCCACCGCTTTCCCCTGGAGAAACCCGCCCATCCTCACCTGCCGCAGGTTCTTCAGCAGCTCGGTGGCCTCCTCCTGCCTGCCCTGCTTGACCAGCAGCAGCATGTCCTGGATCATGCAGATCCGCCGGTGGTACGGGGGCAAGCTGGGGCCAGCGCCCTTCCCGAACTTCTCGCCGGACTTGGCCACGAGGGAAGCCAGGAAATCCCCCCTTTCCTTGGTGGCCACCTTCTTGCGGTGGTGGCCCGGGGGGCTCTCCCCGGCGCTGCCCGGCTGGCAGCCCTTGGTCTGCTTGGTGCCCATGGCCAGCGGCTCCCGCAGCCCGGGGGCTGCATGCAAAGGGCGGCGGGGCTGGGGGGAAGGACAAAGGGGAGCGGGGGGATGCCCAGAGGGGGTCCGGGAGGTTCCGAGGATGCCCGGGAGGTTCGGGGGGTGCGGGATGGGGCTCAGCAGCGGGCTCCGTGCCCGGCCGAGGGGCGGCTCCGCTCCCGCAGGCGGAGGATGGGGCGGCAGCGCCCGGCCGGGAGGAGCCGCGGCTCGGCCCCTCCGCTCCGCTCCATGGCCGGGAGAGGCAGAACCGCCCGATCCCAGCGGATCCCAGCGGATCCGGGCAGCTCCGGGCGCTGCCTCAGCCGAGCGGCGGCGGCTCCTCCGCGCAGCCTCCTCCCGGTGCCCGGGGGTCTCCCGGGGATCCCCCGGCTGCGGGGGGGGGTGGCCGCGCTTTGGGGGCAACTGTTGCGCTCAAGGGGCTCCCCCGGAGGCGGCGCCGGCTCGGCCCGGCTCGGCTCGGGGTGCTCGGAGCGGGGAGAGCCGGGGGAGGGCCGGGGGCGGGCACCGTGCACCGAGGCAGGGCTTGCGGAGGAAGCCGCAGCCGGACGGGGCTCGTCCTTCCTTCCCCGCGGGCTGGGGGCTCCGCACGCCCCGCCGGGGATGCTCCGGGCCGGGCGGGGAGCGAGGCTGCGGCAAACCCCACCGAGGGCATCCCCGCCGGGGTTCCCGGGCAGGGATTCCCGCTGGAGCCTCAGCACACAGGGGATTTGCCGGCATTGGGTCCCTCGGGGATGTGCCCGAGGCGGGGGAGGTCCCCCCTGGCTGTCCCCTGCGGGTGATGCTGGCATTTCATCCTGAGCACCGAGCCTGGCTGCTCCTGCACCTGCTCACCTGCTCACCTGCTCACCTCCCGCACCTCCAGCCCTGCTGGAAGCCACTGGTTGTGCTCCATCCCCATCTTCATCCCCATCTCCATCCCCATCCAACACTTCCAACCTCCTCTTGCATGTCCTGCTCCTTCCAGCAGTGCCCCAGCCCATATTCCCTCACTCCTGATCTCCCAGGCTCAGGGATATTCCCAGCCCATATTCCCTCACTCCTGATCTCCCAGGCTCAGGGATATTCNCCCAGCCCATATTCCCTCACTCCTGATCTCCCAGGCTCAGGGATATTCCCAGCCCATATTCCCTCACTCCTGATCTCCCAGGCTCAGGGATATTCCCAGCCCATATTCCAGCACTCCTGATCTCCCAGTCCCTCCCCTGGCAGGGCTCAGGGCATGGATTGAAGCTCTTGGATGAAGCTCCTGATGAAAATCTCCCCCAGGCAGGCTCTGCTCGCCTGCTGCAGGACACAGATTGCTCAAGAAAGGCCTGGGAGGGATCAGCTTTGGGGTGATGAGGCCCCAGCAGTGCCCTCACGCCCTCTCCTGATTTGAGGGGATGGTTTCCAGCACAGAAACGCTTTGCAAGGGTTTGAAAAGAGAATCCCATATGGGAAGTTTTTGCCCCTCTGCATCCCATGCAACAGCACATCCCCAAACACACAAATTCCATGTTACTGTCATGGATGAAAAGCAGCTCTCCTCCACCACCAAGGACCTGCAGGCCCCTCAATTGTTCCTAAAACTCGGCTCATTCTGACCCACAGACCACGAGAGCAGCACAGAGCCCCAGTGACTTCACCAGGGCTTGGCTCTGCTTTACAGAGCCGTGCTGCACGTGAGCCAAACCACAACCAAAGCTGTGTCTTCCCCACAAAACACAGCTCAGGGGCCAAAAACCTCCATTTCAGCCCTTCAGCCATGGCGAGTGGAGTCAGATGAGGAACCAGCAGCAGAGTGGTTTGCAGAAAGCAGAGTGTGCTGAGCAGAGGCCTCACCTGGCTGTAAATCTCCCCGGGGAGGCAGGGAGAGGAGCCAATGTCAACAGGAGGCTCTGGCAGGGGTGGTGACACCCTCCAGCAGCACTGCTGTCACTGGAGCTGCTGCCCCTCCCTTTGGGAGCACCACTCCTCTCTGCTGGCACCAGGGATCTGACAGGGATGGCAAAAAAGGGACCCTGCAAGGCTCTGTGGCCAAAATCCCAACGGATGGAGATTCATTTCAGCCTCACTGCACCCCAAAATCCCTGTGCAGATACACCCTCAGTCCTGCTGATGCACACAAGCTCCCTCCCCAGCAGGAGCTGGCAGGGAAGGAGCTCCCAGCCCTGAAAAATCCTCTGCCTGTCCTCAGATTTCATCCCAAAGTTCTTTCCTCACATCTGCGAGTCTGTGGTACAGCAAGGTCAGCTCACCTCTCCAACAAAAATATTGGAGGATGGAAAAGCAGCAGAAAGGCAGAGCCCCATCCCAGTGAGGGATCCCTGCTCCCCTCAGTGCCCCAGGACCTGAGAGCTCCTCCAGAGTGACACGGCCATAAAAACAGAGCATCCCATCCGGGCTGGAGGGAGAAGTGCCCTGAGGCACGTGGAGAACCACATCCAGCCCATCCCCGACCTCCCACCACTTTAAAAAAGGCATTTTGTGCACTTTCAACCGCTTCCAACCTGGCTGTTCATGGGCCAGCTTTGTCAGCAGAGGCTGCAGGACACACCAGGAACCTCTCCAGGCCCACCCATCCATTGTGGGACCCCTCCATCCCCTCGGGATCCCAGAGGAATGGGGCACTCTGAACCCACAAAGCTGTCCCAGAGGAGGGGCAGCTCAGCCCTGGCCAAGGAGGGGTTCTGCACAGCAGCCACAGCCCTGAGGAAAGAAATAAACAAATAAATCCCAACCTTTGCCCTCCTGTTCCTTCTGCCAGCAGGGCAGAGAGTTCACCCACTGCTCCTCATCTTCTTTATAGCACACAGGACAAAGCCAGGGGGAAAAAACATTTTAAAAAAGGGCAGGAGTGTGGGGTGTGAAGATGTTAGCAGTGAAAAGCAAACCAGAGGAGCTGGGTTTGCTCTCCTTGGGGGATGTGAAGGCACCAGGAGCATCCAGGACAGCAGCAAAATGAGCCCCAGGCTCGGCACTGGTGGTGGAGGATGTGCAGATCCCTCAGGAATCTCCATCCTGGAGCCTTATTCCCTTCTACACCTCCCCAGAGATCTCCTCCAGCACAGCCCCAAACTCCCCTGCACACACACCCTTTTCAAACATGCCCAGCATACCCAAACCGAGCCCACCCAGAGCTGGAAAATCCTCCTGTGCTGGGAGCCAGGGCTGTCCCAGGGCTCTGAGCACTGGAATGTTCTGCTGAACTCACCCCCAGAGCCACAGCCCAGGGACATTCCCCTCAGTGCAGATGTGTGCCAGCTGCAAATTGAGGAGTGTTCATCCAAGGGGCTTTCTGGTTTTTATATTCACTCCTGCCATGCTTTTTATGATACCTGATATTGAGTTAGAAAAGTCCCTAAAGGGAAACAACTTCAGCTCTTGACATCACAAAGCCCAACAGCTTCTCCTCTCTCAGGAAATTCAGATTTAAGGACGTCCTCACTCCCACAACAAAAAAGAAATTAAAGCTTTTCAGTGCATTGTGCAGAAGCCAGGGAACATCCCCAATAACCTGAGGGATCCCTGCAAACAGAGATTTGCCCTCAGTCCCAGGTGGGGGTACCCACCAAACCCCTTGGCACAGCTGTAATAAATATATTTGTTTTCAGATAAAACTCATTCCCACTTCCAGGAAGGACTGACTGGTTTTGCTGGAAGATCCCAATCTCTTGCCAGCCCACCTGTGTTTGCAAAGCCTGCAGCTCACCCCTCTACCCACATCCCCACAGGAGAAATTATTTCATTTTCCTGAGATAGAAAACCCCTTCCTGCTCCCAGGATTTGCCCAGAACTCCCATCCTGAACTGGGAAATCCAGTGTGATCCAATCTGGGATATTCCAAAGGGGATCTATCCTTGGAGCCCTCTCTAAGTGGGAATTTTGTGAGGTTCCCACCATCACTTCTGGATTTGGGATTTCTCACACTGCACCTGAGACACCCAAGCACAAAAAAACCCCCTGGAATTCACCCCCTCCTCACCTGACAGGGTTTGGGGGGAAGTTTCTGGCAGCTCATTCAAACCAGAGACTGAGCTGGGGCCAAGCTCTGCTTCTCATCAAACCCTCCTGCTTTGAAGGGCAGCCCAGGAATTCCCAATTTTTGTTGATAGGGAGGGAATAACTGGGATTAATTTTAAATATCAGCATCAGATCCAAGCTGGTGCTGCTCACTGTGTGAAAAAGACTAAGGGAAATATTGCTTTCAGTATGGCATTTAAAGGAATTCCAGACTTAATGTGATTTTTATCTCTTCCTCCAAAAAAAATTTTAAAATTCAACCTTACTGTAAGACCCCAGCAAATGCAGCAAGAGCAGAGCAGCAATCTCTGGGGAAGGAGGCCAAATTGAAAAATGTGATTTTAAAAGGACAGAAAGCCATCCTCATCCTAAGCTTGATTCAATTGGGCTCTGACAGCGAGACAGGGTTGAAATGCAGCGAGATGTAATTGCAGATGAACTAAACTCCAGATTAAAGGGGCAATAAAATGATGAGAAACGTCACATGAGAGGTGTTCTGAAGGAGAAATGAAAGAATCTCAGGTAGAAGCATTCATGTTTCCTCCTGGCAGTGGATGAAATCTTCCTGTGTTCACCTTTGAATTAATTCCCTGCGTTTGGCCTCAGCTGCAAAAGGGAGAAGAATTGAAAAAACATCCCCAAAGCAAGGGGGAACCTGAGCAGCCAGAGAAATATTGCTGCAATAGAGTCCTGAAATCTGCCCTGAGCTCTGGCATCTGATTTCAGCACGGCCCAGGGTCACAGAGGGGCCAGGGAGCAGGAAAATAAACTGTGGGTACCAGGGGGAAAAGTGACCACAGGCAAGGGGACAGAGCTGCCAAAATCCCCAAACCTCCACGTGGAGCATTTCCTTCTTAATTATTCATTTGCTGCACCTCGTCCCTGTGCACTGAAACAACTGTCCCTGTGCAAGCATTTTTCACAGAAAAGAATTAACATTTAAAGCAAACCCAAGTGCCCTTCCAAGCAAT